GTCTTCCTGGTCTGCAGACCAGGGAGACGCGGAGCAGCTTTTCTCGCCCCGGAGTACACGGGCGGCAGGACCGCGAGGTCCCGCAGTCCGTGTCCTCCAGGGCGAGAAAAGCCCCATTCGTACCTGCAAGTCGGGGACTGCCTGTATGTTTATACCCGGCGTATAAGATGACCCCCGATTTTTGGGGGATGTTTTTTAGTATAAAAAGTCGTCTTATACGCCGGAAAATACGGTAAGATCACATGCTCTAAGACAATGCAGTTCCATTGTTCTACATTAGGGTAAGAGCAGTGATTAGGACCTGAACTCTACATTTAAATGTTAATAGCAAGCTAAAAATGTCACCATGACTATAGGTTCCACAAACAAAGGATAAGACAGCTCTTACATAAGCTGAGAGAAAAACCACATGGTTCTTTTAAAAATGCAATTCCCTACTGTGTCCTCAAGAGACTCGGCGTTCACTGCTTCTCAAAATCTCCATATCACAGTACTCTAGAATTAAAAGTACTCTCTTCCTTCTCTCCCCAATGGTCAGTGCCACAACCATGGGATCTGAAAGTCAAGCTGGGTTCTTTCTTTCCATCTCAGACATCTCTGCAAATAAAAGATCCAGCAGAAGTATATTAAGAGATTGTTAAGCCTCAACTGAAGCATCCATCTCTATGCCTCTTAAAGGTGAAGGCTCATCCTTGGCTATATGACGTCTCTGCAATGCTACAGGACGTCAAGTGTAGCTAAAACTTACTTCTGGCATCTGCTTGTTATAGCATACAAGAGGCTGAATGTAGTGCCACCACTGCACTGTGAAGCCATTATCCTGTAACTTGCTTTCAGCTTCAGTACCTATTATAAGCCCACTCAGGTTAAGTCAGTCATGGAAATTAGAGCTAGAACTAATCTATTAGATCAACAAGTCTCTACCGCTCCAAGGCAAGGATAGAGGTTATACTTACTAGCTACTGAATGAAGTACACTTGAGCAAAGCTGCAAGGCCAAAGCAGCATTTTAATGCCATCTCAAAGCACTGACTGCAGGAAAAGTGTAGCAAAATCTGGGGTGACATCTAGCTAGACTACCCCAGCGCTACACACATTCCCTCACTTCCATAAACAAGGGGAACAACGTGAAGTAAAGACAAGCCTCCATTTGATAGCGATCCACCAGAGGGTGGAGCTGCAGACCCACCTACGTAGGACACAGAAGAGGCCTGTCCTCCTCCACCAACTGCACAATCCATCCACCACTTGCTGGGCAGCGCACCCTATGCCTAACCTAGCTGCAGTACCTGAGTCAGTTCCTTGATGCGTTTCTCAAGAGTGGCTGGTACTCCTTCTGGGAGGGATGGAGGCTGTTTGAACTCCTGTTCCATACCCATCCCAGGAGGGTCACTCCCATCTTCCATGTCATTGAAAGGACTCCCATCTGGAGATTCATTGAAGAGATGCTCCAGATCTAGATCAGTCAGGGAGTCCATCGCAGTGGCAGCCTGAAGCAAGTCACTGTCACTGGCATGGCCAAAGAGCGACAGCAAAGGATCAGACATAGTCTCCACTTCCCGCACGGCTGGAGCTTCTGCTGGTGAGGGTTTCACCATCCTCTGTTCTTCATCCTTCTTCTTCTGAGCTTCCTTCTCCTTCTGGAATTTCTTCAGCATTTCTTTGACACTCAAAGCACCAGAATATTTCTTCTTCTTCTTCTCCTTACTGGCATTCAAAGCTGTGAAACTGTAAGCAAGGGAAAAACAAGAACATCCTTATGACAATAAGCCACATAAAAGGAAGGGAATGTTGCAAAGCAAGGGGAGAAGAAATACCTCTCTACCAGCTCAGAGCATCAACCACACATGCTTATCGCCAGGTGAAACTTAGCCAGGATCTTCTCTGCCCAACCACTAGTTCCCCCAGAACATGGAACTACTGCCTCTCGAGGCCACTGCTAGGAAATGTAGCACTGTTATTTAAAATGTACAGCTTTGTACAGCACCAAGTGCTGATAATGACTCAGTGATATTTTCTTTCAATACACTTTAAAAAAAAGATTTCCCTATTAAAACTAGTTCTAGCATGTAACAAGTTCACTTCTCATTTTACAATCCTTTATATTTCTTGTACATACTTGCTTCATCATTCTTATCACTGTCACTAGCATGGATTTATTTATTCATGAATTTATTTCTCATGGAACACTAGTTAAGTGGGGAACGAAGATGTTTTAAATGACAATCTTCATACATATTACTGTATCACAGAAGAAACAGCTGACCTGCCATTGGAAATGGGGCTGGTCCAATTCACACCAGCTATCTTCAGCAAGGAAGAGCTGAGTGCGCCAATCGTAGCACTGTTCTACACTCTCCACATGCACCGTTAGATTCCAGCACCGCTCTGAGGTCTTAGTCCTAATGTTAAGATTCTTCATGCTCTTGGAGCCCACTTTTCCATCTATTGTCCACTCACCACGAGCATCCCAAATGAAACTCCCGTGAGCTATGTCTCAGAGGTGCAGGGAGGGCAGGAGATGCTTGGTGCAGGGCAGTTATGGAATTCCTTTATACCAATGATACAGCCTAACACAATGCAAAACCTAGCTCATGCACAAGTCTTCTCTTGCTGATGAAACTAGGTAGGATGGAGCTTAAATCGCCTGTTCCATCAAGGCTTGCTTTTATTTATCAGGTGCATGCAGTCCAGACAGCACAGCAACTGACGCACTAGAAATGCATGGACTAGAAAACTCTAAACCATGAGCACCCTAACCCAAGAGACAAGTGATTTGGAGGAAGCCTGGCATTTAAAATATGTCCCTTCTAGTGGTAAGACCACATCAAACTCCCTTTTTTGATTGACTTTCAAGGCTCCAAGCACTCAACATGACAGGTCAGATAGCTTTGAGAGAGAGACAGACAGAACTGAAATAACTGTATGTTGCCAGAAATGAAACAGCAGCAAAAAATAAAGAAAATCCAGGAATGTAATTAAAACGAAGAGGGAAGAAGCCAAAGAGATAGGGCAACAAGCCAGCCACAGAACAGAGATGAGAGAAGTAAGTGGGGGAAGAGAATAAGGCAAAGAGCCAGCAAGATAAAGGTGACAGATACAGAAATCAAAGCGAGTAAAAACTGCAGCTGTTAGGAAGCATTAGCATGCTGACACTGATAAAAAGAACTTGTTACATTTGTAACCCAACAATGACAACCCAGTTTCAAAGGAGAGAGATTAAAAAGAGCCAAGTGCTTAAAGGCAGAAATGCCTTGCACTTGAGATCAAACATCTTCCTAAAGATGGCAGCAGCACACTGCTTTGCATTTCAGCTCTGCTTGCCTCAGCCTGCTAACACCTCTCTAGCCTCACACTCCATCCTTCCCTCCCTGCTCTTCTGACCTTCTCAAAAGCCACTGTTCTCTTCTCCTGCCTCCTCTACACTCTTCCCCTCATGTCATTACGCCTCACCCATCCCTGTCCCCATAATGAATAAAGATGACAGCTAATAAACTAGGTCCCCCTCACTGCCCCCACCCCATTGCTAGGATGCTGGGCCCCAACCTACATCTGTCTTTTTGCCCATATGGACTGTAAACTCTTTGGGGGCAGAGAAGCATCTTCCTAGGGGCTTATCCAATGCCCACAACACAGGCTCCTGCCTTGAATGGGGCTGCTGGGCACTATTACAGCACTAATAAATGCAACCTGCCCTCAGAAAGGCAAGAGGCAGATTGGCATCTCGCACTTCCATCATCCCCATGAATACAAAGGGCTTCTTCTCACCCAGCTTTGGGGAACTTGGATTTTTTCGATTTTTTTTCCTTGTCGTAGGAGTCATCTTTCTTCTTCTTCTTCATCTTTTCACCTCCTTCTTTCAACTTCCGCTTCTAGGGATTAAACACGAGCCAGAGTCAGAGCGGGCGGGCTGTACAATGACAACTTCTTGTACAGAAAGGCATTTCTGAGCTCTACTTCAAATCAGCCACTAACTGCCTCTGAACACCTCAAATCAAACGCCACTGGATACTAACCCACAGCACGTACAGCGAGTACAACGGCTAATGTCTGCGCTAGCACACACTACCTTCAGTTCTTCTGAGATTCCTCTAGCTAAGCCCAGCACTGCATGAACAAAGCTAAATTTCTTGCCTCCCTTATATTCAGGTCAGCTTAGTGCTGGTGAAATATGTGTTCGACAGCTCTGGAGATTGAAATCCTACAGGAAGCTTCCCCAGTAGAGCCCTCCCTTCCCAACACAGTTCAGCACCAATGTGAAGGGCTCCCCACTTGGGCAAGAGGAGAGGATATTTCATCTCAGGCCTTGGCTTCCCTGCTAAGATTAACCAACTCCTAATGGTGATGCCATTTCTCCTCTAAGAATCAATGTAGCTCACCCGCTTGTTCTACATGGGCCAGGCAGCTTTCTCAGGACTACTACTCGACAAGATAGGATTTAACTGGTCAGAGTAAAAGCTCCTATCACCACCATAAGTTACCAAATCTCCCCAAAGCAGAAACCCAACCCAGACTTTCAAAACATTATTTCCCTTGCAGCAAATCCAGTCTGTGCACTGACATTTAATGACAAAAAATATCCCTTAACAGCAGAATCTCTGACCTTGGGAGACTTCTTCTTTTTCTCTTTGATAAAGTCATCCTCTGATTCGGATGCCTGTCGGAACTGCAGCGTTCCTGAGTTGATGTAAAAGCCTCCAAGCTTTGTAGTTAGAGAAGCTGGAACAAGCTCGTCATACTGGAAACGAAAGAATCATCTATTAATGGTGTACGTTATTCTGTTCCCGTGTTAGATAGTAGCTGGACTGCATGCTCACACTCCCCCCTAACAAGTCTCCTTGTGTGAGAGGATGCCTGGGAGCTAGGCATTCTCCCATACTGCAAAGCTCCAGGATGCTGCTTCTCTGCACTGCACTAACACTCTCCCGTCTGCAGCCCTAAAAGCAACTGAATTTATAGCACTTCATTCATTACTCACCGCTTCAGAATTATCAATGAAGGAATCAGATTCGTCGTACCCATACCCCATATCAATCAAGTCTTGCATGCGGTCCTTCCTGCGTTTCTTGCCACCCTGAAATGACAGAGATAAATGACATCCGCCTCTCTTAATTTATGCAGAGACCGGTCCTGACACGGAAGGCTGGCACTTCTTTCCAGTCTAGAGCAAGGTAGCGCTCCCTCTTTTCATTCAGCCAGGAAAGGGGCCTCGCTGGGTGAGTGCAGGGTCTGGATCCCAGGGTTCTCACAAACATGAGTAGTAGTATGGACCTGCTCCAACAAGAAGAGGTGCTACTCTATGATCATGTAAACAGAGTTGAATTTATTTCTCCATCAACATCAGCGAAACAGCAATACTAGAAAGGAAGAGAAAGTCCTTAAGTATTAGTCCTTAAGGCACCCACACCACTACGAGTCTAACCCAAAGTGATAAAAACCCTGCACTTTAAGGGTCGTGGCCACCTCCCCAAGCCATACCGCTAAAGCCAAACCCTTGCACTTTATTGAGAGAACAGATGAACCACTGGAACAAGTTACCAAAGAAAATGGTGGGATTTCTCCACCACATCATGTCTTCAAACCAAGATTAGGCATCTTTCTAAAAGATTTGCTCTAGTTCAATCAGGAGTTCAAAGCCCAAATACAGGAATTCCTAGGTGAAATTCTCTGGACTTTTTATGCAGGTCAGCCTAGATCACTGGTTTTCTAACTGAGGCATGCCTCAGCAGGTTATCGGGGCACAAAGACATGACTCATTAAGAACTTTTATTAGTTCTTCAAAATGTTGTTGATAAAGAATTCCTCTCAAACTGAATCTCCAGCTCCGGCTGCTGCTGCAATGCTAGAAAAGAAAGGGAGGGAGGGAGGGAGGAGCAAGGAGGAATGATCTGTCTCTGTGCAGGAGGGGCCCCATTCCAGCTCACTTATGTATCTCGAGATATCTCCACCCTATCCACACAAGCTCTTGCATATGCCTGCTAGGAACTGCACCAAGGCCAGAGGAGCCTGTTAAGCAGTTCGAGGAAGTAGTGTATTGGGGACACAGCCCAACTGACTGTGTCCTGCTGAGATGTCCATGGGTTGGGGAGGAGTGGGACATCCTAGCAAGGATGGATTCCCAAACCCATGGAATCCACAGAAATACCATTTCTTAGAAAGAGGAGGGTGCATATGAGACAAATCTCCTGGGGATAAGGAGCATGCAGCAAAAATTTGGGAACCTCCAATCTAGACTATCATTATGATCCATTCGGACCTTAAGATCTAGTATCTGTGTAACGTTGATCGTGCAATGTATTTAACTTAACATACTGTCAACTGAATTTGTACTTTAAAAAATACAATTTGATACTAAAGCTGGTTGAACAGAAGAAAATACCCATTTTATGTATTATTTGAGGAATTTTACCAGTATTCATCAGCTAGATACCTTCGAAGAAAGTGACACAATACAGAGCTCATCAGATGCTGCAGAAATTATTAATTGAATAAGTTATTCAATATATACTTGGATGCCATTTCTTGAGTGGTGTTTGCCAGGTATTATCTATGACAGACTGACAGTATCTGGACAAACCTCACTGAAGTAAGTTAAACGTTACTGAATTGAGTTTAAACACTTTGGAATTCATTACTCTAGACATTAAAACGTTTATGTACTATTGTGGCATTGTACAGAACTGCTTTCACAAACAAACAAGATGAATGCAAATCTCTGGAAGGTAGCAGGTACATCAAAAAGTCTTATTGGAAAGTGTGGATTCCCTAGGAAGAACCCAGGTGAAGGGAATGTAAATTCTCCCTTCAAGCCAAGCTTTTGAAGATACCTATTGAGAGAGAGAGAGAGAGAGAGAGAGAGTCCCCTTGTGTACTATTACCTACTTATAGAAATTACCCCTGAAATTAAAGACCCCTGAAATGTATAAAGGATGAACTCAACATGCCATGAGCATGTTTGTTCTGAGCTGAAGCTGTGATGAACTAACGGGTCATCACAAGGAATTCTCCATGGATAAGGGGGGTGTAAAGGACTGTTCCTGCCAGAAGCCAAGATAAGATTGAAGTTAATTCTGTTAAGCTTATTAGCACACAGGTAGATGGTGGGTTCTTTTGTTGTTTTAATATGTTTTCTCTGTAATGCTTTTACCTTATGAACAAAGCAGGCTTGAATAGGAAGAGTTCTGTGGTACCTTATAACTAGCAATTACACCGGTTAATGGTCTCTGAAAAGAAGGCAAATTGGTGTCCCTGGGCAGTCTGTGCAGGGAAACACATTGGAGTAAGGAAAAGTGAAGCCTGGACATACCCCACTCAGAATGGAGAAAAACATAGGTCTCCGCCAAGAAATGGCTGGGGAGAGGGAAGCCAAAAAAAGGAGCCTCTGTTGGACCACTGAGGGAAAATACAAGTGCAGTTGCCCTAAACTAGGACACTATCTGGCCAACTTTTCTTACCAGCACACCCAGCTTTTGTTAAACCTTCTTTTCTTAAGACAGATCATGCTGTATGTTTTCTTGCCTGCTTTTCAGTGTCTCTACCTTCTCCTATATCGTTATCCTCCTTTTTTCATCTCCCTTTCTTCTTTTCGGTGTTATTGTTGTGTTTACCTCCTCTCCCCAGAATTGGCAATTTCCCACGAAAAACTACTTTAGGACAGGGAGCTGCTAAATACCAGGCTTTCACACCATTTAAACTAGAAAACTGGAAAAAATAATTGCATGAGGGTTCTGCAAGCACAGACTCTTTTCAAGCAGTAGATACAGCTATTCAAAACTGAGAAACAGGCTCGGTCTATCTACTATGTCAAAGCTGATCTCCTTGGTAGCCTGAAACACAGTGCACTTTTCATTGATTAGTGTTTCAAGCCTACACATTTGTACTGTTGTTTTCATATAATTAATGTTTTCAATTTTTTCCTTTATATGATATTAAAACAGAAATGAGTCATGACATTGAATTTCCTTGAGAAAATATCAAATCAAAATGTATACATGTTACAATATTCACTAATATAATTACATATATTAAACTTATATCCGCTGCAATTTTACTGTGTATTTGCACAACTGTCTGAATCTACTGCTTTATGTAACCACAATGGAATATATAACTCAAACTAAGTGTAACGTGGTGTCATTTAACAAAACTTTAAACACACACACACACACACACACACACACACACACACACACACACACACACACACACACACACACACACACACACAAAAAAGACCTTAAACCGGAATAACTAGTTTTCCCAGGCCTATAAAAACAATGATTTTAGTTGACATAAACCATCTCTGGTAAGTACCATCCCATCCCTGCCTCTACCATTATTTTTTCCCACTTCTCTCTCTAAAAACTTTCTAATACCACAGTTCTTTTTGAATGTCTCATCGATATCTTCCTGATGCCTACCCACTCATACTCCTAGAGAAACCCACACCAGGCACCCAATAGCCAGAAGACTCAAGTTCCTGACCACTGGAGAGCAATACTGTAGAGGGATTTTAAGAAACAAGTAATCAGCTAATCCTGTAGTCGATAGAATTTCTATTGACTACACAATTAGTTGACAGGGTTGGAAGCCTCTGGGAGCTACCCCGCGCTGCGGCGCTGCAGCTTAAATGTAGTAAGAGTCAAGTGCGCAGGAAGCCCGGCTCCTAATACATTTAAATTGCAGAGTCACTGCAGGGGTAGCTCCTGGACTGGCATTGAGCCCAGGCTGGCCCAGTCCCAGCTCACGCTGGGTCCACCAGCCCCTGTCCATAACCAACCCCGAGGGCAGCGAAATGCGCTGGGCAAGCCTGGCAAGGGGCAGCCCACGGGTAGGTTTGATTTGAGATGTGGCTTCCCAATGCATCTCATTTAGCCTCCTGCCTTTCCATCCAGGCCATGGTGGCTGATGGGGGGGGGATGGGGAGAAACCACAGCAAGTGCTGCCCACTGTGCACTTCCCACAGCCAGGAGGGGAAGCTGAAAGGCTGCGGCAGGCCCAGGAGGGCTGGCTGGGCTCTGGGAAAGCAGTGCTGGGTCAGCAAGGGGCGCCTGACCTGCTTATTTTCACCTCCAGCCTCGCAGAGTGAACTGTTGAAACCGTTTCAGGGGAGCGGCTACCCCTGGCTGCCCGATGTGCCGGGCAGTGGCACCAGGCATCACGTGGACTGGGAATTGCAGGGCCAGGGCAGGCGGACAGTGGAGGCCAGGCTGCAACCCGAGTGCTGTGCACACCTGTGGGAGCCACCTCCTCTCCTCGCCCTGCGCTGTCCGTGTGGCTGCGGTGCACCCAGGCCGAGCCACACAGTGCCTGCCCACCTGGGATGAAGCCGCAGCAACAGGTGAGCTCCAGTCCTGGCCCCTGAGCCCAGTGGGCTGCTGCCGCCAGTGTGCAGCGCTCAGCCTAGGTTTCCTCCAGCCACACCAGCTCGGCTGCTGGCACCTCCTCCCAGTGCCCACAGGGCGCAGCCGGGCTCCCCGAGCACCCAGCACAGGGCTCTGCACAGCGCTGCTGGTAGCACTGGCCCAGCTCACCACGGAAGACCTGCCCACAGAGCGCCACCAGCCCAGCCAATGATGCAAGCCTGCATCTCCTCAAGCCCATCCTGGGAGCATCAAGCTCGCCTGGCTGCTGCACTCCACCTGTCTGGGCTCCTGGTCCAGCGCCGGGGAGCCCCAGCCCTTTCCCTGCCTGCTGGGCATGAGCAGGGTTCCCGGGGGAGTGGGGCCAGCCCGGCACATGGGACTAACAGAGAGCGGAGCCACAGCTGTGCCACCGCCAGAGCAGCTGGCTTGTCCCGGGTCCAGAGGAGGGGGGAATGCAAGAAGAGTAGTCGAGTACCTGACTACTCTCTTCCATCCCAACTACTGTACAGAGTGAGAGTCCAGATGACAGGAAAAGAAATAGCACTAGGATCCTAACAGAGACCAGGGACATCAGCTTAGTTTGGAACCTTTGTCTTTCACATTAGTCTAATTAATAAGTGCCTGATAAATTTGAAGCCTTAGTCCCACAAAAAAATCCACAAGGGAAGTGCCATTAGCTTCCCCACAAGCACCATGATAATGAATTGACCCAGTGCTGATCCATTTCATTGTTGTACACAGGATTCAGTAGATTGGCACCACTCTGGTTACGGTTTGGCAAAGTTCTGAAAAGCAACAGGAGCTCTGAAGCTATCTACAGAAGTAAAATGACAGCACAGCATCATTTTACACATGGCTTACCGTTTGGAAAGTTGCCTTTACCACCATAAAGACTAGTTTTGTTTTGTTTTTAATGCAAGCTTAGCTTCAACAAAATTTGATAAAACTCTCACTTGCCCTGTGTGAGCATTTAGGCGAGAACTTTAGAACCTAAAGTGTATTCACTTACAGGAATATGACAGGAGAGTTGTTTATGAAGAGTTGCAGCAGCTATTTATGATTATGATGATTTATTTACCATCATCTGGATGATAGAGTGAAGAGCATGTTAAAGAAATTTTAAAAAATGTCTTCAATTCAGAATAGCAACTCTATTCTTACCTAAACTTCTGGCTAGAGAAATGGGGTTCATCCTCTGCTACCACTCTCCAGTCTCCATTTTTAATATCTCACTCCAGAAAATAGTAGAAGTACCTACCTTCTAAACAATGCTCAAAGCTTTCCTAAGCAATAACACAATGAAATTGAAATGCAATTAAATTAGCTGTTTCACTACTGGGACCTGCTGGCCTACACATCACGTGGGGGGAAAGAAGGCATTGTAACTGACAAGATAGGTTACTTTTAAACTCTCTGTTCCAGCCTGGCAAAATCCTGCAAGCAGCAGAGACATCAGAGATGCATGTGTGCAGACTTGAAGCACTTTTTTTTCCCATGCTAATTTCATATTAAGATTCTATTAAAAAACAAAGGCCAAAATCAAGTGCTTATATTTCCTTTAAAAAAATAAGTTTATACACTGAATTAGTTGTTGACACATCACTAACAAGTGAAAATGAGAGGCCTACGCTTATTGGCCTGAATCTGTCTTTACTAATGGATGATAGGACTAAGACAAACAGAAAAAGTTATTTTACAGCTAGATAAAGGACCTGACTAGAAATGAGGCATAAGAACCAATGGCCTATTTTTCCTAATAAAATATGATTAGTGGAGAAGTAAGAGTCTGGAATGGAAACAAAACCATCAGAACTACACATTGTGACAGAGAAGAGTGTAGGAGGAGCATAAAACACATACATATTTCTCTTCAAACTTCCTGGTAAGAGCTTCCATTTTGTGTCTTTCCTTTTCTTCATCATTGAAGGGATCTCCAAGGTCTTTTTTCTGTGAAAATGAGCAGACACAAATATAACAGAACATCACAGTGTCTCACTAAGTCCCCCCATGCTGAATCTGCTACTTCCATCACATGCAAAGTCTCTGGAAAGAAGCTTAGACAAACAGTCTTCAATACACTGAAGAGCTATTTTCAGCAGATACACTACTGCCTCTCTTTGCACAGGGAGAGCACCATGTTAGGGATTCTCAGAGTGCAAGAAACAACTAGCCTCTTGTCCTGGCAACAGAGAATACACAAAGACTGAAAGTTTAACCAGAGACACACTGGCCAAGAAGTCAAATTATTATCGATGGTAAGGCCAAAATGGCATAGCAAACCTGCCATCACCCTCATTGAGGTTTCATGAGAAACCCAAGCCTTCATGGACAGTCACAGAGAAAAAGGGAAAGGGAGTACTGGTATTCATTTCAGGGTGCTCTCTCAGGATGCTGCTTATGGATTTCATATTTGTATTACTGCGGGCTAGCACCTGACGAATTTCAGTCTCCTCATCCCTCTTTTCTCCCTCTAGTTGCTAGAAAGGAGAAGGAATTTGCTCTTGTTCTCTTCTCCAACTTATTGCATCCCAGAGTCCTGGCTGCCACTCATACAGAAGCATATGTTCCCACTCAACTCTGCCTCACCATAGCTTCTGTTCTTCAGTTTGTCCTCACATGTAAATAGCTCCACTGCATGACACTACTGCTACATAAAGCTCTCTCAAGCAGCTACATGAAATCATCCCTTGACTGCCTATGTGGTTCTGGACAGCAACTATGCAACTGACGGGAATGTGTTAGTTTTCCCAAGCAATACCATAATGTTACCAGCAGCAGCACTGCAGTCAATATTTCTCCAGGTAACATTAACAACAATTCTTGCTCTTGCAAAGCACTTTTTGTTGGTTAGCTCTAGAAATGCTTTACAAAAGTAGAACAGTAATAGATATGTAGCCATGTTAGGCTGGTCTAGCTGAAACAAAAAACAGGACTATGTAGCACTTTAAAGACTAACAAGATGGTTTATTAGGTGATGAGCTTTCGTGGGCCAGACACACTTCTTCAGATCAAATTGTGGAAGAAAATTGGCATGTAAGTGAGTTTTAAGTTTGAAGCACTTTACATTTTAATTATATTCTTTAAAATGAAAGTTTTGCTTCTGTTGAAACTGACTGGTAAGACCTCTTAAGTATAAAGTTCCCTACTCGCTACTGGCTGGCAGATTCCTCAGCTGCTAACTGACAACAACTTATATACAAAAGCAGGTACCAATAGAGAATACTCAAATGGAAATATCTATGTAGAGTATGAGTCCGTCTAGAGGCTCCCATTGTACAAGCTGTTAAGGAGATCTACTTTCAATGTTCTTTTATGAATATTCATGTTTCAAGCAATCCTGGTACCAACAAAGCACTGCATTCAGTCTGTATCGAATCAAATCATCATTATGACATTATCTGTTGTGCTTTCCAAACACTGCTTTAAGTCATTTCAAGGAAAATTCTAATAAGGCAAAAATAACAAGAGAATATTGTTCAGTAGTAAGAGTTCATATTTAGCAGTAAGTAGTCCTGGTTTCTATTCCTAGTTCTATCACCAAGTAGGTCTGTGATCATTGACAAGCTATTTCACCACTCTGAGCCTCAGTTTGCTCATCCTTAATACAGGCAATGCTCTTGGGAGATGGGCAAAAAAGAATGAGCATTCTGAAATCTTAGCTGAAAAGTGGAACGTTATTAGATGCTCACCTTGTCACCTGAGGAAACACCTTTCACTTTCCCTCGAGTATTCTTTAGAAGCTCTGGGTAGAAGAATTCTGGACAACGTTTGTGATCTGGCTCAAAGAGAGTGAGTGTGAGGCGAACCGCTGATGCAGATGAGTCCTGGGGCTGCTCTGCTCCTGCAGCCTCCTCTTTACGAGGCTTCTTCAAGAAAGTGTTGCTTAGCGGGCCTGGCAAAGAGGTGAACTGAACCCTGTGGGGCTCCGTCATGGCTATTATCAAGTCTTCGCAGGTCTCATGGCATGGTTTCCATTAGTTCAGAGAAGTTCTGGTGAAGCTTTGTGCATGTGCATACATGGGGATTTCAATTAAAGGACAAACAGATGTTTAAGGAGATAAGAGCACATTGGAAGAAGAAAAGATTATTGGAATTAGAGATCCCTAAGAAATAGCTGTAGCTGGCAGTCTCACAGCTTGCTGCATTCTTCAGAGAAAGGCTGATTCTCAGAGCAGAAACAACTCTAAAATTCGCAGTCCCCTACATTTTAATACCTGCCCATCCGTAACGATGCCGCCTGAACGCTGTGCAACTCCATTTCTACAGGGCAGAGTGAAATAACCTGGTGCACAGTGCAACCTCCAGAAAACCAGTTTTAATATGACTGAACACGCCTTTGTCGCAAACGTCAGTCTGGGCTACGCCACGCTGCATCAGCGCTTTGCTTTGGATGGCAATTATCAAGATGCCAGGAGAGCCAAATGCACCTGCCCTTCCTCTGCACTGTGTTCAGACACATGCTTGCCACTGTCTGATGCCTGGTCCATGCCTAAAGGTCAGCGCACACGAGACTGCCTCCCAAAGAATCTTCTTGACATTTCTGATTAGAAAAGAAAACAAAGATCCAGCTTAAAACAAAAAGGATTTAAGGGGAACACCCACCTACCCCCTCAAAAATCCAGCTGACATAAGTACTGGCTCAAAAAATGTCAGTGACAGCTGATGGCCTGGCTCAGAAAGTGACACCCCCCGTAGCATAGTGGGGGTCACAAACTCAATGCTCCACAAACCAATGAGGGGAAGCCAGCAGCTGCCTCAGACACTACACAGCCCCTAGAGGCAGTGATGGGGAACCTACGGTCCAGCCCCCAGCTTGCCTGGATCTGGTCCCCAAGGCTCAAGGTTCCCCTCAGATTTGGGGAGGCCGGGCTGGAGCTCCAGCCCTCCCCACCCCCAACCTTCTCCAGGGCTGGAGCACACAAAATCTACTAGCCTGGGCCGCCTACGGCTCTGGTGTGCGAGGGGAACGTGGGGAGCGTCTTTCCCCTTCCCAGTCAGGGCCCACCTGAGTGAAGGGTGTGGGGTGTCTTCCCCCACTTGTGTGCAGCCGCTGACGGGTTTCCTGTGGACTGGAGCTCCAGCCCTCCCCACCCCCAACCTTCTCCAGGGCTGGAGCACACAAAATCTACTAGCCTGGGCCGCCTACGGCTCTGGTGTGCGAGGGGAACGTGGGGAGCGTCTTTCCCCTTCCCAGTCAGGGCCCACCTGAGTGAAGGGTGTGGGGTGTCTTCCCCCACTTGTGTGCAGCCGCTGACGGGTTTCCTGTGGATCAACAGCCCCCCACTCGAAAAAGGTTCCGCCCCCAGTCCTGGGGGGCGGGCTTGTGTCTCAGCT